GTTCTTTTTTATACAGCTCAATAGTTCCCCAAGAAAAGCTGAATGAATTGTTGAGCTGAAACAGTTTAATATAAAAATGATATTTTTATATGTGCAGAACTTTTTTTATAAGCAAGGATAAATTTATAAGCACGATTCAGGATAATACTGATTAATTTTGGCTGGCAGAAGGTTGGGATATAGGAGGAGCCCACACCCTAAGTCGAGTGAAAGGTTTATTGGTGCTCATTTGTTATCATTCTTCTTCAAAACATGTTTGTGCATCCACTTATATGAAGCATTACATCATTATTTTTAGTTAATAAAAAAAAAATACAAGATGTTATAGGGCCACTCAAAATTTTTACCCAGGGAAAAACTTTACCAATAGGATACATTTTGATGACAAGTTTGTGGGCAGGCTTATTCAATTTACCAGGTACAAGTTACTTCTGTTTGTTTCTCTTTATCTCATTCACAGGCATTCAAGATGGGAAAGAATCCTCTCAAAGATTCCACCCACCGGTTTGACTGTATTTCTTTCATGAAGATTAAGGTTGTTGCATTGTGTTAAATCATGTTTAAACTGTCTGGACACACAAAGATTAGGCCATATTTTGTGGTTAGGAGGTAAAGATTACCTGGGGAAGAGTCAAATCTTTATTAAGGAAGCTAGAACTATGATGATAAGCCCCAGGTGGGGGTTGGGGCTGTGTTCAGCATGCACCTTGACCTGGAATTTGAACAGTTGGATGTTTAAGATTGGATCTGTGGGTAGAGTGTAATCAACTGTTCTCAAACATGCAGAGGGAGCCTGGGACTCAGCATGATGTGTCCCTAAAAAGGGTTCTCACTGGGTTGGTGCCTCACAGTCACTTAAGAAGAATTAAGAAATCTGATGAACTGATTCAGTTGATGTTACTGCTTTATTTATTAAAGATGAATAGAGTCTGTTAGGCTCTAGGATCATTGTATGTGGAGGAAAGTCATTTTTTGCTTCCTTAGCAAAGTTCATTTGAATACTCTGGCCCTGTTGTAAGAAAGCTAAAGAGAACTGTTTCTTCATACTTCGGCCAGAGTGCCAAGGAGGAGAATAGGGTGGTGGTATTGTGGTAGGGAGTGATATCAGTAATCAGTAGGAGAATCAGAAAAGAGGGTATCAAGAGACTAATAATATTCACTACTTTCCAGCATCAACCTTAGAGGTCCTAAGTGATTATTTTTATTCAGGTAGGTAACTATTCTTGACATGGGGTTTCCAGCTTGCAAGAACTCCAATGCCCTCTTCATCATTCACATGTACACTTACATGAATGTGTGGAGCATTTGGATTGGTCCTAGGTGTGCACATTGTTCATTTTAAACTATTTTCATGTTGCTGCTGCATTTAGCCTCTCTTTCTGTTTCCTAAGCTGGGAAAGAAAGAAAACATTTTTATCTTTAGAAGATGTCTTGGGAAAAGTTAGAAAACTTGGCTAGTACTCTTACTAGTGACAGATAAATTAATCCACATTTTTTGGTACAGTTATAGGAAAATTATGATACTTCCACGTATTTACACACCATATTCTAGATCACATCTATACCCTTATTTGTTCAAAAACATTTACTGAGCACACACTGAGTGCTAGGCACTGTGCTGAGAACAGCTGTGACCAACTGTCTCCGCCCTTTAGGAGCTCTTGGCCCAGTGAGGGCAGACATACAGACTGATGACTTAGTTGGCTGTGTGATAGAGGTGATCAGAGAGTCAAGGAATACTGAGTGGGCATTTGTGGGAAGGGAAGAATGTGATCAGCACGTCCCTCCTCCAGTGATGCTAAGTTAAAAACAGTCCTGAGTCCTAAATCAAGGAAAATAAAAGGGAGAAAAGAGTGAGGAGAGAACTCTGGCAGAGAAGGGCACTTGAATAGGGCATGGAAGTGAGGAAAGGATGCTGTGCCTCCAGAGATCTAAAAATAGCTCACTGTTGCCAGGCTGCAGGTTTGAGGTAGGAATGACAAGCTGGAGAGCAGCTGATTTTGAATGATCTCAGATGCTCTGTTGAGATTGGAACTGTAGTTATTGGGAGACATTGGGAAGTCTTAGGTTCATTCTTGTATGGAAGAGGGACCCAAGGACTTGAAGACCAGAACCACCTGTTATGGGGAACAAGTAGGGAGGGAATTGTGAAAGCAGATCTAGCAGAACGGTACTAGGGATAAACGAGGACAGTGCTTGTTAGATACTTAAGAGGAAAAATCTCTGGGACTTGGTGATGGAATCAATTTTGAGGATGACTTGGATGATCTCCAAGCTTCTGACTTGGGAACTACACCAGCAGCTATTTCATAGAACTGTCTGGAATGCTTTACAAAGTTAATTAGGATATCTAGACTTTTCTTTATATATACTATTTTGATCTTGTTCTATTTACTTGTGCTGGAGACAAGAAGATTTTTTTAAAAAATAAATTAAATATTGCAGCCATGTCCTACTACCAAACATTCTCCTTATTTACCTGTTCCTAAAGATGGACATATAAGGAAAGTGTGCATCAGGATGTATTTACAAAAAGATATATAATTAATTTATCATTGTTTGAAGTTAGTGAGGAAAACTGCCCTACCTTAGCGATGAACTTTAAGACTTTGAGCTTTGTGGTCAGAGTGTACCCATTGTTCTCTACTCATTTCTGCTTCTGCAGTCCATTGACCAGAGATTCTCAACTGACGTTTGGTGTTATACATGGATAAAAATAACCTCAAGCCAAACATGCTTTATTTGAAGATGAATAAATATGTAAAACATTTAGAAAATCTTGGAAATTATTGCTAATAGGAAATTATTTAGAGATCAACCAAGTAGGCTATATAGATGATAGATTAAGATTTTTTTGAAGGAAAAAGTTGACCTATGCTAATATAGTATTTAAAAGACCTGGATACAATGCAAATTATCTGTGTAGATATTTGAATTGAGAGTCCCATCTTTGTAGAAGTGCCCATTTGTTTGAGGGAGCCAGTTCTCTGTGGTTATACCCATACTATGGCAAATATAACTATCAATGGGCAGGAAAACGCTGTCCAAATACATCTTGTGCACAAATGATAGAATTAGAAAATGAATAAAAAAATATAATTATGTTTGCTTACTTTTGCCTTATAGTGGAAAAGAAACTGAGCAGTTTTTACAATATATTTTTACCTGAGGAATTTTAGGAGTGTAGTTGGTTTTCTAAATGTTTATAAAAATGTCTTTGCTGGAGGGGAGGTCAGGAGGAGTTTGTAAATATTTGTGTTCTTTAATTTGTAGCCTTGTTTCCAAATTTGCTTAGATTTACTACAGATTGCCTTAGAGCACCTACCAGATAGGATGTTTCCTCATTTCTGTGTTTTAGAACAAGGAGGCCTTGGTGAATAATAATAACTGCACTAACTAAAATCTATTGAATGCTGTCTCTGTTCCAGACCTTGTGCTAAGCATTTTATAAGTAGTGGCCTAGAACAGGTAATTGACTAGTTCATAGTTACGCATCTGATAAGTCATTAAACCAGGGGTGAGATTCAGGTCACTAGTGCCAAAGTTTTGTTTTTAACCACATCTGGAGTTAGAACTGGGACTGAAATCTAGAATGGTATTGATGTGGTTACAGATGTATCATACCCATAACCTCGAGAGACTCATTGCTCAACTGCTAGAAGTCATGAGAAGATTCAGCAGTTGAGAACTGTTTAGGGAAGAAGTATAATCTGGTTTGCTATTTTTAAAATGTATGGGAAAATTATAACACTAAATATAAACATTTGAAAAGAGAATCAAATCAGTATTAAAGTCCTGCCTGGAGCAACTAGAAAAAAGAAAAAATAAATAAATGTAAAGCACACAGAAGGAACTTATACAAAAATTACACAGAAATTAATGAAATTGGAAAAAGAAAAAGAAAATCAAAGAGTTGGAAAGTTGGCTTTTTGAAAAGATCAGTAAAACAGAAACCTCCAGCAAGGCTGACAACAAAAAAATGAGAGAAGTCACAAATTATTAGTATCAGGAATTAAACTGAGGATATCATTATAAACCCTGCAAACATCAAAAGGATAATAAAGGAGTATTATGAATGACATCACACATAGATTTGACAATTCAGATGAAATGGATAAATTCCTCCAAAAGTATATAGCACCGTGACTCAGCTGATGTGAAACCAGTAATTTGATAGTGTCATGGAAATTAAATATCACGGTTTAAAACCTGAAAAAGAAATGTGCAAGCCCATATGGTTTCACTGGAGAAGTCTACCAGTTCTGCTTCTAGAGAATAAAACCAATTCTATACAATCTCTTCCAGAAAAATAGAAAAAAAGGGAATACTTTCCAACTCATTCTATGAAGCCAGCAAATACCATGCATGAAAGAAAACTGCACACAAGTATTCCCCGTAAAAGTCTAACAAAATATAATTTAGCAATAAACAGGTGGGCTGTACTCAGAGATGCAAGGGTGTTTCGGTTTTTGAAAAGCAGTGTATCCAATCATATGTAAGGGCTGTTGGAATGCTTGGGAAAATCTTTCCTCCCCATGGGCACGCATTCCTATGGAGGAGGTCAGGTGGGGGAACGAACCTTTACGGAGGCTCCTGATGTGGGGGAGCTGTGCTGAGTCTCTAGGAGGATGGCCTTCCCTGTACCCTGTTGTGTAGGTCCTTCTGGCATTCACTACCATTGCTGAAAAGGGCCTTAACAGGTGACTGGATAATGTGCTGGGATTTCCCCCTTTTTTCCTCAAACATTTGCAAGTCTTCCTGAGTGCTCGCTGAGCAGTTGCTGTTGGTCTTTAGGCTTTATGTCAACATCACACTGCGGAGACGAGACAGTATTCGCCGGGCAGTGTCCGCAGAGCGTCAGGAGTCCTTAGGCTTCTGCTCTGTACGGAACCAGTACCTTCCCTGGGTCTTTTCCCTGAAGGCACACTGTTTCTCTGAAGCAGGGCTGTCCCGTCACGTTAACAGTTTGATATTAACAGACTCGTGGCACAGTGACTTACGCAGTGACATCCCGGGCTGGCGAGTCTGACCTGACTGCGAAATCACCGCGAAGGAGCCGCCTCGGCCGGCCACCGCGCCGCCCCACGCCTTCTGCGCAGACGCGAGGGAAGCCCCGCCCCTGCCCCGCCCTCTGCCCCCTCCCCCGGCTCACCACGCCCTCCGCGCTCCCGCCCCGCCCCTGAAGGGCACTTCTTGCAGCCAGTCGGCACCCGCGCGCTGGGCGGGGGCGCGCTGAGATTGGCGGAGGCTGTCGGCCGAGGGCGGGCCCCCTGACTGACACGGGTTCTGTCCAGTCACCGGGGGCCGTGAGCCACCGCCCCCTCCGTGGCGCGGGCCGCCCTGCTGTCCGCTCTGGGCTGGGGCGCGGGGAATGTCCCGGGTCGAGCTCGCTGAGACGCGCTCAGCTCCGCCCGGCTCGGCTGCTGTCTGCACCGCCTGAGGCCCGCCGCTTTCCGAAATGGCCGAGCAGTCGGACCAGACCGTCAAGTACTACACCCTGGAAGAGATCCAGAAGCACAACCACAGCAGGAGCACCTGGTTGATCCTGCACCACAAGGTGTACGATCTGACCAAGTTTTTGGAGGAGGTGAGTTGGAGAGACGTGAGCTGTCTGTCGTCCACAGCGCGGTGGGGCTGACGTGCGCGCAGGGTGGGATGTGCTTCCCGGTGCGTGCGCCCCCGGCTCTGCCCCCGAGAGCCTTCCTGGGCTGTGCGCGTAGGTGCGCCTCCAGTCCGGGAGCGCCCCGGCACCCAGCTCTGTGCCCGAGAGCGTTCCTGGGCCCGGCCCCGGGGCGCCCCTGCACCCACACCGGCCGGTGCACGCACCCAGCTGCGCGCGCTGTGCTGCACGCTCGGGAGCGGGGGCTACTAGGCGAGCCTGGGAGCGGCCCGCGACGGGCCAGCACCTCCGGGCGTGCAGGACGGCGGCACCGGGCACCTGGTGGGAAGCACAGCCGCGTCTGGGGCTGCGGAAGGATTTTGAAAGATCCCTTTCGGAATCCGCACAAGGGGGCTCCCTGGAAGCCCGGGATAGGCCCACTTCCGTTACTGCGGGGGAGCCCACCTGAGAGAACCCTGAGTTCGGAGGTCGGGGTGTGGTCCACAGGCCCACGCCCAACTTCGGCGCGCGCCGGTTCGGGAAGGAGCGCGGTGATGGTGAACAGCAGCATCCCGGGAGGCCTTTACAGCGCCGACTCTGGAGGCCAGGAAATCAGCCCCCCGCGGGTGTGAAGCCCTGAGGAGGGCGGGATTTAGGTCCGGAGGCTGCCGGGGGCGCTGGACCCTGCCTCTGGGAGTTGTAAGATCACTTTGCTTCACGTAAAGGAACACGTTCCTTGATACGATTCTTTGCATTAGGATATACTTTTTGCAGCACATCCTAAGGGGCTTTTCTTCGCTACCTCTGGATTTGATTTATCACCGAGTGTGAATGAGAAATCTGAATGTAGCACTTACCCAGCTCCCAGACAAATAAGAATGTTTAGTGATGGGGATTTTTTTACATAGTTGAAGGAGAAATGAAAATAGAGGCCTGTCTTAGCTGAATAAAAATGTACATCAAGGGACTTTTGTAGAGAATTTATCGATTGATTCTTTTTAACTCTTTTATTAAAAGTTGAAGCTGATGTTAAATAAGATATTTTACTCCTAAGTTGTCATTTGGTGGTGTGCCAGAAGATAAAATAGTGTTCTGATTTAGGAATGGTTTATAGTAAGGAGGCACACCTGATCTGTCCCTTCTGAGCCACCGGCATTAGAGAGGGTGGAGTTAGCAACCCTGCCTGGTAATATCAGGGCTAGTTGATGCCAAAGGTCTACTTCCAACCAGTTCCTTCTCCCTCTCTCTCCGTATGTGTAATTCTAGAACTTTAAGACTCAGTGTGTGCTTTCTTTGTCTCTATCTGTAAAAAAGAACAGCATTTATGAAAAAAATGAAAGGATATTTTTGTGAACTATTTTTTTCTTTTTCCTTTCTTTGTGGGTTTTGTTTTGTACATTGTGTTGTACAGGCAGCTTGCCTGGCCTTTTCCCCACCAGATGTCACCACTCACTCCCCAATTGTGACAGCCAGAATGTCTCCAGATACTGCCAAGTGGCCAAAAATCACTCCTAGTAGAGAATCACTGTCCTAAAAATGTATTTTGCATGACTTTTAAGGGTAAATTTCTCAGAAGGAGATAATAAAAGAGAAGATTGCTAAATTTTAAACCGCTTTTCATTCTTATGAGGCAGGAAAGAGGGAATTGCACAGAATTTTTGTGAGTAGAATTGTAAGAGATGTGAACAAGCTGTTGGATAAATTAGCTGACAACCAATTCCTTTATTGTATTGTTTTCAGTATTCTGTATGGAAGTAGCTTCAGGAGAATCTGTTAGATAATAGGTGAAATGAGTTTGTCACTAATGTTTGATAACGTAGTGAGATGACTAAAACTATAGTGAAATAAGTAAAAAGTTTAGAGTAGTTCTGTTTCCTTTTCTAATTGGTACTTGGTGAGATGCTCCCTGTGGTAGCCTCCTGTGATTTGAGTTTGGGGCACAGAAGGCTGTGTATTCAGCCTTCTAGGAGTCATGCCCTTTCTTTTGATCAGTAAGTTCCGTATCTTATGTACTCCATTGGGTATGTCTCCCTCAGTAGACTACAACCCAAGAGGAAGACACATGATTTCTGTTCCCAAAACCTTCCATTGGAAGAAGCAGGAATAGGACAGGAGAGAGTGCGGTGCTTGGGTCTGCTGCATCTAACTCCGTTGGGAGCAGACTCTGGAGGGCAGTGTGAGGCCTCAGCTCTGTAAAGAGCACCTGAAGTCCCCAGTGGCAGGATGGAAAGGACAACCCAGGTGCACAGAGTGGGATCTTGATTAAGGTAGAAGAGCAAGGTGACTGACATTTTGAAGTTGGACCCACTGGCAGGATGCTGGGCATTTCCAGGGTGATACCCCCTCCTAGGATCCCTGCCTATGGCTTCCTGCATCTTAAACACACATCCCATCAGCTTCTGCAGGACACTCTGCCAGGTGTCATTCTTCTGGATCCCTCTTATTTGCATTACTTTGTTTGGCTGATGCTGTTTATCTCATACCTTCTTTAGAGACAGAGAAAGGAGTCCAAGAGATCTGTATCTTCCTTCCTGCCTTGCCCCTTTCTTCCATCATTTTAAAAACTGCAGGATTTCATGAAGCCTTTGTATGTTAACTAAAGAATGTTCTGCTTTCCCTAATTTACCTAAGTTTGAAATATTTTTCTTTTTTCTTTTGGAATGGAGGGCTTCCCTCTTCTAAAGTGAACTTTGAATCATTGTGGGCTCTTCTACTACATTATGGGTTTCTTTCTACTATGAATTTACCCATTCGTATGGACAAAAAGACTGTTCATGGCTGAGTATTTTCTCCTATAAGGATATCATACATTTATATGCATGTTCGTATTGATGTTGAGAAAATATACTGTGATGGAAGAGGGTATTTGTCTACTACCTACACTCTATGCCTCAGATACCTTGTTTGAAGATAAAATGAGAGGATGTTAATAGTGTTTACTTGACAGGATTGTTATAAAAATTAAAATTTTTATAACACATAACACACTACCAGACATATGGACTGTGCATGGGTAAATATAAACTTCTGTTTTCTAATCTGGGGCAGGGTAGGCTGGTGGCTTGTTTTCTGTAGTATCCTATGTAGCTGAGTGTTAATAGGAGATTTTAGGTAAAGGTGTGTAAATCAGGCAAGTGATGTTGAAATGAGAAAGGATTATAAAAATTATATCCTTCCAGTCAAGAGACAGGTGAAGTTTCTAAGTTGTGCAACAAGCTCTATCTCTTGAAATAATGGCCTTAGAAAACAGGTTTGTTGTTCAAGAGGAAGGTAGACACCTGAGAGGGCAGGCTGGCTCATTATTAATGGCAAGCTAAGTACTGCAGGTGTTTAGTTACTATCTAATGTTGACATGCAGCATTATGAGCTTTGTTGCCTGTGAATTTTGGATGAGGTTTTTGTTTTTCAGTCCTGAGTTCTAGTTTTTTAACTTATATTTGTGAAGTTGGGTTTTGTCTTAGGTGATTATTAGCAGGGCTAATGATTATAGAACTTTGAAGAACAGTTATTTGAAAGGAGAACGTAGGCATTTGGGCCTGGGAGAAAAAAACGGTTTTCTTTTCTCTCTCTGTGATTTGGGCAGAAGTGTGTATTCAGTTTTTAAGAGCTGTGGGAGGTGAGAAGAACACATCTTAGATTGGTGAAGTTATATTAACTTGCTTTCAATTCTGGTCAATAGATGTTTAATTTATGAAATTGGTATCTTCCTTAAAAAATGTGGTAGAAGAGGGATCCCTGGGTGGCGCAGCGGTTTGGCGCCTGCCTTTGGCTCAGGGCGCGATCCTGGAGACCCGGGATCAAATCCCACGTTGGGCTCCAGGTGCATGGAGCCTGCTTCTCCCTCTGCCTGTGTCTCTGCCTCTCTCTCTCTCTCTCTGTGACTATCATAAATAAATAAATTTAAAAAAATTAAAAAAAATGTGGTAGAAGAGAATGCTTTTGTGTCAGGTTGCTCCCTCCTTTGCAGGAAGAAAATGAGAACTTGTTTTTTGTAGAACATTTTATGGTCATCCTGGGATTCTGATGCTGTGTATCTGTATTGTGGATATTCTTTAATAGCGTTCTACTTTACAAATGCTCGTAAACGCTACTTTACAAACGCTAGTAGTTTTGACAGAGGGACTTACTTTTTCTTATTTTCCTTGAACATGGCTGCCTGCTTTGCAGAAAACAGTGGTTTTCTGCAGAAAACAGTGGTTCCAATTCTGGGAGACTCAGTTCCCCTGGACTCAGGAAGAGTGTGTGGGTGCTTGAAACTCATGCTCTCAATTCCGAAAGAGGACAGTATATCTTTACCCTGAAATAGGGTGACGTATTTAGGGTTAAAATCCTAAATGCCTTTGAGTTTTTTCAAGGAAGTTTGATAATACTCTGAATCTGATACTTCTAAAGAGATGTGGTTGCAAATATGTCTTTGATTAATATAAAATGGGAATGTTATTATTTCACTTATATAGTTTGGTAAATAAAACTTAGAAAATATGAAATCCATATGAGGAAGATGTAAAGGGGTCCTTGGCAACAAGTGGCAGAGCCACAAGGCTACTTGGGGAATGTGAGGCCGTGGGCAAGGCCTCTTTTATATTCCTGCAATTTTTTCCCTTGGCAACTTCTTGCTACTTTTGAGAAGAGGTTTCAGGAGTGCTTGTGAGCTACTTTGTTTTGAACAGTAAAAACAGAAAACAACACTTGAGATAAACTTTTGCTTTTTGTTTAAGATGGATGGAAATTCCAAAGAAAGCGAGAATAGATTATACAGGGCAGCATGGCTAAATTGAGGAGTAAATAATGCTCGTTTCTACTGAATGCATCTGTCATTCCAAAACCCCTCCAGATCCATAGAACACAAGTAATGGGTACCTATTATTTTTTAAGATCTTATTTATTTATTTGAGAGAGAGCATGCACATGCACATGTGTGCACAAGCTGTGAGAGAAACAGAGGGAGAGGGATAAGCAGATTCTCCTGAGCACAGAGCCCAGTGAGG